TATATTATATATATATACTAGGTTTTAAACCCCATGGAACTCCACGGTTTAAAAAATTGAAATATAATTATACTTTTGATAGTGTAAATCAAAAAGATATCAAATTTTAGAAATAATGAAGAATTATGATATTGTAATGTAATTAACATGAATAAATCAAATACAATAAAGTATTATAAATTAATTAATTAATATGATGGATGAAGTGTGATACACGAAAACAAAATAAAAGATGGTAGAAAAACGGTTCTTATAAATTCCCAAAAACTTCCTTATAAACGACATTGGAAGTTTTATTTGTGAGACTACCATCCTTATCTAAAATTAACAATTTTAATCCTTTCCTGCTTTGAACTCAAGATAAGGCAACATACAACTGGCCATGTGAAAAGACGGGATGTTTGAGAAACAAACCAACCTTCGATAACGACTGTCTCTGACTCTTATTAATGGTCATTGCAAAACATACATCCAATGGAAACTGTCTTCTTTGGAATTTGAAAGGAATTTTCTTTTCTGATGGAGTTAATGACATTCTTGGAATAAAAAGTGCGGTTTCCAATATTAGTTCCAGATATGATACGTGCCTCAATAACACGTTTGCCCAATGATATCACCTGGAGTCTTGTCCCATTACATAATCCATTTTTCTGATCAATATTTCTCAGTAACATAACGGGAACACCAATTTTTAAAACTAACTTATGGTTTGGTAAACTCGATACTTTCAGACCATTTAAAACATCAGGTGAATATAAATTTGCATCAAACTGATCATGAACAAATTCAGATTGACATATACTATCTGAAATATTCAACCTCATCTCCTGGAAACTTCGATCGCAAACGGTCGTTTATTTCCTGAACCACTTCATTTTTTGGAGCAAGTATTGCTCTTTCTTGAAAATAACTTGTATTGTTGTACTTTTCCAAAATTGAATGATATACGAAGTCGATTAATGAACCTATGGGATCATGTAGATCATTAATGAAAATATCATCTGGAATATCAATAACCGTTTCTCCATCGTTGATACCACCAAGTTTGCCTTCTCCTATATCCAACAACCATTTTGCAAAATCTCTGATTTTTTCTATATCAGATTGATCCTTTCCAACAGTTAGTCTCATGTTTTTTTTGTTAATTTATGGATCTTTATGTGTTGCCATAAATATGAAGAGCTTAAAGAAGCATTAACAATGTTTTGTCTACTTCCACCTGGAATAACAGGTAGAATTTGTCTAAAATCTCCTCCAAAAACAATAACTTTCCCTCCAAACGGAATATCCGAGTTGGTAGAATTTTCAGACCTGAATAAATCTTTCAAACTTCGATCTAAAGCTTCAAATGCATGCTTATGGACCATAGGAGCTTCATCCCAAATTATCAATGAGGTTTTTCTCAATAACATAGCAAGGTCACTACCTCGATTTATTCTACAAACAAAATCCTCTGTTAGTTCAAATGGAATTACAAATCGAGAGTGTGCTGTTCTACCTCCGGGCAATAATAGTGAAGCAATCCCACTTGAAGCAACATTTAAAACAATATGACCATCTTTTCTAATAGCTGCAGATATTATCTTCCATAAAAAAGTTTTACCAGTTCCACCATAACCATAAACAAAGAAGACACCTCCTTTATTTTGTTTAACTGCAGTCATGATATCAAGGAAAATGTGACGCTGCTCATTTGTCAATGCAAGAAACATACGATCAAACTCAGTCTTCATAATGGGAATGTCATAATCTAGCTCCTCGATGATAAGTCGATTGTTTGAAGAAGAAACATATAATCAACATCCGGGATAGGCATGTTTTTTAAAATTTTTAGACTCAAGTTGTTCCGAAGTAAAACTTGTTCTATATCGAACAAAGTTAAGTTCTTAAGTTGATCTTCATTGAGTGATAAGTTTGTAGGAGAAAAAGTGCAAATTAATTTGAAATATTATTAACAATATTTGTATTATAATTAAAATATTAATTAATGTATGTTTAAAAATAAATAATTGACAATTTAATAAATAATAATAATAAAAAACTTTAATACTTGGAGACTTGAATCTCTGCCGTTGGTTATAAAGAATTCCATCTGCCAAATATTCCCATGTGTTTTCCCAAACAATCTCCGGTTTAGACATACTTTTACACATCAACAATGTAGCAAATAAGAATCGTAGGTAAAAACCAGATCCAGAATGACTCGCTTCTTTGATTGCATCGATGTATTCATTATCATCATCCAAGAGACCAAGAGCATAACAAGCATATCTAAAAGAAGAGTATTCTTCACCATTTACTGTGCGAATTTCTTCAAATGATTTGGGACCTTTCACCTTATTTAACAATATCCTTAAAAAATATAAGCTTCACCTAGATTAGGCGAAACCGAATGAATTCTACCAACGCACTTTCCTACTTTCTGTGGCTTCCAAATCCTATCACCACGTTGCCAAACAAACTTTGTAGGAAATTCAACATACGTAAGTTTCCGTGCATCAGCATTAACTGCATTACACTCCATCCAACCTGTGAACATTTAAGAAGCAACAGAAGGTTTGTCCAGAACATTGTCAATATCATCGTCTTCCCCATATATAATTTGTTGTTGACCAGGAAGATGAAAAGACAGTCTAACCACAGAAGGATACCTGTAATGAACATCATATTTAAAAATTCGCCATGATGATTCACATGCAGATAAATATCTACAGTCATAGTACTCATTTATTTCATCAACCGCATCATGAGTATCACACTCGTTATTGCTTTGTACAATGCCAACTGTAGCTCTATCACGTCTCTTGTTTATGTATTTAAATAAATACTTTATAGAAGAACCCTGATTGCACCATTCAACATTAATATGTGTTTGATATCTTTTCAATAGATATTTGTTGTAAGGGACAACATTTCTATTATCCAACTTCACACCCGATTTTTCACCAAAACGACCATCGTTTCTTCTCCTATATAATGGAAAACCATTCTGATCAACAGACGTATGATTACAGAATTACTTTGGAAAGTTTTTCGAGCACTTTTTGTCGACCATACAAGGACAATTGATATTTTCAGCGCCACATGGACCATGAATCATGAACTCATTCACAAGAGAATACAATTCCGGATCTTCATCTATGTTTGGTATCTCAGCGGAAATTATCGGATCGATAAATTCAACAGTGGGTAGCTTGTAGTCAGAATGCATAAATAAACATATATGACTATGAGGCACACCTTTTGTTTGAAATTCAATTGTATAAACAACTGCATAATATTTTGCACAAAAATCAAATATGATTATACCGTAATGAAAAATATAAAAAATCTATAATAAATAGAATAAACTTTTATCAATTATGAAGAAACATTATTTCAAATACCTGCTTGAACTATGCCAAAAATGTGATTCTCCCTTAAGTCTTTAATAAATGCATCAAGCTTGATCTTGAACAACCTACATAGTGTATCAGGTCTGTCTTCTGGTTGAAGTGAAGTATCTTTAAGAAACCTTTTAACCTCTGGCCATTTGGGATTACACGTAAAGGTTATGAAGAAATCAGGATATCCAAACCATTTACATAACGACATGGCATCCAAATAGTTCTGCAGCATATAGCGCGCACCACTAGTAAAAGATGAAGGTAATATCACACGTTGGCCGACGTTGGAGATATCTGTAGTTCCTTGAGCTTTTTGGTTATGTAAATTCTCATAAGACTCGCATCTAAGAACATATTGTTGCCTACGTATGTAATACAATCTCTCACTTTCAATCATGGTATAAGCATCTACCAAAATTTTTTGAAACAACCTTTTTGAATTAAGAATAAGTGAGAACGAATGATCCCTGTCTTGAATTCTAAAAGCGAAAAATTCTCTCATTGTACATTTTGCGCGCTTGCTGTTTGTTGTAGATGTAAAACCTCTATGAAGAATATCAACGTTGTAACCATCATCTCCATATGGAAATAGTAGCGGATATTGGAGAGGAAGGTAAGAAGGATGCAATTCACTGATACGTTGTAGAAATCCCGACTTAGTTCAACAACGATATCTCTATTTTCAACTAAATCAGAAATGTCACCTATAATTAAAGCGGCAACCTCAGAAGCAATTGGTAGGTTATATGTCCTTCCATCTCGATCTCTTCTGCCGATGATTTTTAACTTCATATCAACTTGAGGATATTTTTTAAAAGTATCTCTTACCATCCTATAAGAGCTAACCACAACATTATTTGAATCTAACATCAACTTCAAATCTTCAATAATATCATTATCTATTGATGTAGATTGATGTTTTTCCCCACTATAAAAATTGAAAATATACATAATATTAGTACAAAAAAAGATCAAAATTAACTATGAATAAGAAGGTTGAAAATATACCCAAAACATCTCTGTCTATTTGAATTTTCGTTGTCCATATCATAAATGTATAACTGAGAGAATTTTGGTTGCGATCCATCTGGTGGTAAAAGGCTTCCAATACTATGATAATTTTGACCACCAAGTCTGAAAATGTATGGAGCATTTCCTCTATTGATTGAAGAATCAATTTTACCACCCATCGACGTAAAAGAAAACATTGAATTGTAACGTCGAATGTTTTTCATAAAGTTTTTGCTTTTAGAATCCGTTCCTCGAAACATTCTTTCATAAGTTGGTGGTGCGTTCTTTAAATATGGAAGTTGAACCTTGCCATAACCCAGGGCCGGCCTTATTCATACTAAACCAAAGGTAGGGCTAAGGGTCCTCACATCTAGAGGGCCCCACAAACCAATGAGTCCATGTTAGTATATCCCTAAGGTGCTAAATGGCTGGAAAAAAAACGATGCTTCTTCTTCCTCTAATCCTCTACATACGGTTTCTGTGTTCGCCACTTCGCCTCATCGCATGTTCGGCTTGAATCTTGATCTTCTTCTTCGAGTTCTGTGATTCACCGTTCCGGGCAACTGCATAGACAAGGCTTCCAAGTTGAAAGTTCCATATGTTCTTCGACTTCTTCCTTTCTCCATTGAAGCCTTCTCGAATCTCCATAACGGTAAATATACAACCTCTTCCAAGTTCCATGATCCATCTGTTCTTCTTCTAATCTTGTTAACTTGTTTCCATGTCATATGATTGTATTGTAGACTTCTAGTCTTGTAGTCAAATGTCATGAAATTGTTTTCAATTTCACTGAATTTGCATATTGATTATTGGATCGGCCAATCAGATTACTTTAGAATTTATATTAGATTGATAAAAATTGTGTACACCAAATTACCAAAAGTTGCAAGACTTTAAACTAGCAAGCAAAGTTTATGCGGAATCAATAACAATGGCCATAAACAATGATTCAATGAACCTTGAATTTTAGTTTGTATCATAAGTTATTTTTCATTTTTTTTAATTATGAGAAGAGTTAAATAAACAATGTTGATAACAATTCATTAGCTAATGGATCATACTTTCTTGTCACTGTAATGTTATAAGTAAAGCTCATACTTGAGCCCTGATATATATTTATTTTAAAGCTGATTAGGGTTAATAGTTATTACTTAATAGCTATAACATTAAGTATAGTAAATGTCAAATGGCCCCAAATTTTTGTTTCGCTTAAAGCCCCCAAACTGGTTGAGCCGGCCCTGCCATAACCACAACATAATGAATAATCAGTGTTTCATCTTTCTTTTCCTCTAATGGATTCATTTTTCCATAATTTTGCATGACATGTTTGACATACCACAGTTTGATCACCATGATCCAAATATTCTGTAATAAAATAAAGATGTATAAGTAAAATATTGAATTTCATAAATAGTTATAATACAATATTTGAGTTGTAAAAGAAAAAGAAAATGGGTATATATATGGATTACCTTTGGAAATACCAATTATTTGATTTTCAGTAATGACTTAATGTATATTTTCTACATCTACTGTCAACTCAATAAATGGAATATGAGATAAATTTTCCAACTTCCTTTTTAATTTATGACATCCTGGATTTAACTTGATTGACGATGAAGAAACAGTTATTGTAGATGCATTTCTCGAGGTCATACCATTACAAAATCCATAAGTAATGGCTATTATTTTGTAACGTTGAAGTTGTGTAGTTATTGAAACTACTATTGGCCGGAAAAAATAGTAAAATTATTACCATTTGAAATGTTAGAAAGTGGTTGAAAGATAATTTTGAAAAGCAAAATATTATTACCATTGAAAATGTTAGATAAAGGAGTTCTAACATTTATATATGAAGAAGATGATTGTAGGGGTGTCTTTTGGTTTCCACGGGATTATAGGAACGTGCATTTCTTTTTCACGAACAATGTTTTTTGATTGATCTGTAAAAAATAAATTGTTTAAAAAATTGAAGACATGTATTATAAAATTAAATTAGCATGTAAATTTTATATTAGTACATTGAAATAATAAAAAATGATGATAATGTATGTATTTTTTATATAGATATATGATAGGTGAAAATTAAAAAATAAAATAAGAAAATTACAAATATCTGTGTGTGTTAAGACATGTGTTCCACATTGATTTTGAACACCAGATTTTGTATTCTTTTTCTTCAACCTCTTGTTATCCAAATATAATTTTCTCTGTTTTCTCTTTTATCTTTTGCTTGCAAGTAGTACATAAAATCATTTGTTCCTGTATAACGAATAAAAAGTATATGATATAAAATGTATATGAGTGTAAATAATTGTGTTTGATATAAAACTGAATATAATAAATGATTAAAATTTGGTTAAAATTAAAATTTTCATATTAATATATAATAAATAATAATAATAGTGTAGAAAGAAATGTACCTTTGTAACCGTTATTAACAAATGTTGCAGATGATGAATCTTCTGTGGTCGATGAAGTAGACAATTTTTTTGGTTTTTCTTATTATGTTAATAAAGATTATTGTTAGAATAATACATGTTATTGTTTGATTATGAAATTGCTTCAGGAAGATAATATATTTATTTAAGAGTAAATTACACGAATGGTCCCTATGGTTCGGGGTAATTTGCGCGTTTGGTCCCTAACTTATTTTTTTAACTCGGAAAGTCCCTACTGTTTGTTTTTGTTACGCCATTGGTCCCTACTGTTTGTTTTTGTTACGCGCTTGGTCCCTATCTTACCTAAAAAGACTATTATTTAAATAGGGAAAAATGGTGGGGTATGTAAGGTAAAATGAGGGGAATGAGGTTGGTGGTGTGTTTATTTAAATAAATTAAAAAATCAAGGGCAAAATAAGTTTTTTAGATAAGACAGGGACCATGCGCGTAACAAAAACAAATAGTAGAGACCTTCCGAGTTAAAAAAAATAAGTTAGGGACCAAACGCGCAAATTACCCTAAACCATAGGGACCATTCGTGTAATTTAATCTTTATTTAAATATGGATTTAACAATATATTTTGAAAATATATAGAATTTATAAAACTTTGTAATTATATAATATCAAAATAATTTATGTGATATTTTTGTGTTATTAAAAGATATATTTAGAGCTTAAGAAATGTGTAACAAAAATATAAAAAAAAATGTTAAAGAACAAACATACCGTTGTAAGGTGTATCAAGTGCATTTTTAGCTGTTGAAGTTTGTCGGCTTGATGTAGTAGACAAATTAATGTTATTTCTATTATCTAAATAAAAACTATTTAATTTTCTACTCTTTTTTAGAATTAAACGACTCATGATATATCTGCAATCTAAAGAAATAATAACAATTAATATATAAGATAATATGATAAACAATAAAGAGTATGATTAAATTAAAGCAAAATAAAGTGTAAACTAATATATGAAAATATTTGACATATAATTGCAATTTGTTTTATTATATTCTTTAAGTGCGTCAATTTTTGAAATATGATTGCATTTATATATTTTATATTTTTTTTATGTACCCTAATATAAAAAATATATTATTGTATATTTATATAACATTTATAATAAAATGTGAACAAATACTATTTATATTAAAAAACATATGAGTAAACAAAATGTACATAAATTTTTGTTAATGATTCACAAGTTAATATAGAAGTTAGTTGTCATTTATTATTAAACAGGGACCATTTACGCATATTTACTTAAACATGGAGCATAAATTGGAATTTTCTTTAATTAAAAGATAAAACAAACGTTTAGGTTAGTCTGAAACACAAAGACGCATTACAGTCGAACTTGTATGTATAGATAGAAACGAAGAACGGAAAAAAATAGTTAGGTTAAAGCTTATTCGTTTGTTGTGTCGATCTTTTAAACTTACAAGGTCAAAGATGTGTTAAGGTAAGAAAAATGGGGACCGGAGGCGAAGGTGTATTACAAATCGACTTCAATATTAACTGGAAATTTCAATTTTTCAGAAATAAAGATTTGCTTACCTGTAATCATCAATTGGAGAGGACAACATGAATCAAGAACGAAAAAACGCAGCTACTATCAGCAAAGCAAAGATGATCCAGAGGAAATGAATTAAAATAAGGTTAGGACTTTATAATATTTTAATTCAGGTTTGAAATTTTGATTTTGAAATTGTGTGGAGGGAACGATAATTTATTTTGAAAATTTGAAACTATTAAAACAAATTGTTGTTAATCATCCATGAATATCGGTGAAATTAATAAAAAAGGAATGTTTTTTTTCCTATTTCTTCTTCACTGTAAGGAGGTGAACTGATATTATTAACAAAATAACTTATTAAGTTAATTAAATATAAAAGTCTTCTATTAATCTTTTATAAACGACATTAATTGTCCAGAATATGAAATTATAAAAATCCAAGAACAGCTTACAGTGCATCCATAGTCAAATTCCACAATTAATTATAAAAGAGTATCTTAATAGTGGGATGGACATTTTAGGCATTTTAGACATCTTAAAGATCGAAATATTTGGTTAACTTTTTCTAGATTCTGAAAGTTATATATAATTAATATTATGTTTAATTCCACCGGTTCATGAGATCAGCAACTAAAAACAATATATGAGATCTTTATTGGTGATATAATATCCATAGTTACCAAGATACTATGCTCCAAAAATGATAAAACTGGAAAGTTACATGAGCATTAACATAAAATATATAAACACATCATATATTTCATTAAACAAAATATGAGTTTCAAAGTGGTTACAAACTATGATGTTCTATTACACCCAATATACAAAAGATAATTACTAAATGTCTTAACCATGAAATATGTAACTTCATAAAAAAAAAGAGATAACAGTTACCTACACTAAGTTTTTCCATGTAATAACATTCTCTTTAGCCATGTCTATTGCATCTTCCATCTTTCCTCTGGGAATGGTCATGTTTAGCATATGCTTGATGTATGCTATTCCATCATCAACTGTTGACATTGGGTGTTATGTTACAAAGAGATGAATAATGTCACACCCCCAAACCAGAACGGTAAAAACATTCGGGGGCGGAGGACGTCATGTACAGTATCACAACAATGCATAATAGTAAACAAGCAACAACATCATCCATTGCATTAATAATATAATTTTAATACAAGTGTGTTCTGTAGTTTATACGACACCAAAAATGAATAATCAAAATAAAGACGAGTCTTGAAAGCTCCGTCTTCTCAAAACCTGGTCATCTGTACCTGTCTACTGGTGACCTGAGAATACAAATTATTTTGAAAGCGTAGATCAACATTAAAGCTGGTGAGTTCATAAGTATTTTAGTGTCATTGTTTGTATAAGTTTGAAGAATGTGCTTGTAAATGTTTGATGTAAATGTTTGTAAGTATTTGATGTAAATGTTTGTAAACTTCCTAGAAAATCCTATATTTTCTACTAAAGCAGTCTTCTACCAAGACCCAACTGTTCTTTATGTTTGTTCTTTTGTAAAAGTGAGTATTTTCCCAAAGTATGACTATCATTACCAAATATAAGTTTTCATTACCGTTTATGTGAGAAGATCACAATGTGAATGAAATGGGAAAAATAAAGATGTACTGTAGTTTTATCTAAGTAACTACCAATGTACTAACTACCTTAAACTTGTTAGTTTAATTAA